CTGAACAATTTATTTATGAAATCAATAATCAGCTTCGACGAAATTCGACTAAACTTGAATTTTTTGGAATACCACTTTATCACGATAATGATAAATGTAACAATCATTTATATTTTGAAAGTACAAAAGAATTTAATATTTGCCTAAGGCAAAGGCTTTTGGATGAAAAAATCGCCTATGAAGAGAGGATAATAAAATATGTACAAAATTTAACAAATATTTCTGAACAACAGATACGTGATACAATAAAAAATTACACATTTCCAGATAAGGAAACACTATTCCTTTTTTTTAAACAATGGCTACAAAATAAATTATTAAAATTACCTGATTGGATTGGAAATTATACCATTGAAAATTCTAATGATTTAAATACATTAAGATACTCTTTAAATCTTGAATTAAAAGATACTGTATCAATTTTTGAAGGTAATTTTAGAATCTCATCTATTTATACGCTAAGAGATAGACGTCGAATTGAAAAAGAAGTAGCTTTAGAAATTATAATTGAACATTACAATCAACAGAAAGTAAGATTATTAGCATCATTTCATGATTATTATGCGATAAGAAATTTTGCAACAACCGGATATTCACGAATAATTTATGATTCACATGAAGCGAAACTAATGAAACTTGCTTTATATAATTTAGCAATAAGACAATCTGACGATCCAGAAAATAAATTTGATGCGAAATTATATCGAATTGAATCTAAACCTTTTGGTTATATTAATAAATTATTACTTTTTAAAACAAATATTACATTGCAAAAATTCACAACAGCCTTTGCATGTAAAATACTTGCCACAAGTCTTGCTGCTTATCCACAAAATGGATATCAAAATATTGTTTATGAAATGTTATTTGATGGACCATATATGAGAGGGAAGATACAACAATTCTATGAATATAAAGAAAAAATGATAATTCTATTACCTGGAACTGTGTTTACAATTGCAAATCATACAAAAATGTACATTGAAGGATTGGGTAATGTTACGAAAGTGGTACTTCAGATTAAACGCGATGATGAAGACAAGTACAGATGGTATAAAAAAATTATGAATGAAATTTCACATATCAACTTCTAAAAATAGGCAATGCAGTAAGTTAAACTATTTTTATACTTTATTTTAATATTGGATAGTAGAAAACAAAAATTCAGTTCATTTAAGTAGGGAAAAATATTTATACTAAAGGAGTTGAAAAATTTCGAGAAAAACATTTTGTGTAACAGAAGAACCAAAAGCCAGACTATAATTTTCCAAAGCATTTTATAACATGCTGAATCTGAATCTGCTTTCAGAATTTACCCAACACGTCAGGTGATAATATATATAATTTTTTCCCAAAAAGATAGTTGCAGCATCTGAAACTGTTATTCTTACCCTTTAGAATGCATTTTGAAACATTGAAAAATCTTTATTTGGCTCTGAGTTACAGTCATTTGAGTTTTCTGAGTTTGGTGAATTTACCTATATTCGTATCAAAAAATTCAAATGACTAACTCCAAGCCAAATAAAGATTTTTTAAAGTTTCAAAATGCATTTTAAAGAATAAAAATAGTACTTTTAGATAATATAACGACCTTTAAAAAAAAATTATCTCTTGATGTTACATGACCTGAAATAAGTGTATGGTTCTTGGTTCTGAAATAGGTCAAAATTTTATCGGCTTTAATTATTATTTGAGTCTATTAAATTTTATTTGCTTCTAATTCAGAAATTGATAGTTTAAATACAGTTTATTTGATTCAAATAAAAGTTATTAGGTACAAACAAATTTTTTTTGAACAAATTAAAATTATTTGATGAAAATAAATTTATTGTCATTATAGTTAAGTTTTTGGCAGAATTTAATTAATAAAAATAGAGAATAATTTGAAATCTATTTATTCTTACAGAATTTCGACATTCAATTGGATATATATTTATTTGATGAACCTTGCTTTTATATAGAATGCGTAGACAAAAATATTTTTGAAACAGTTTCTCCATTAATACCACAGAAAGGTGTTCACAAGATGATTATATACATAGAATTAATTTACAGACATAAATTATTATTAAGAAAAATTTATGTTTTTTATAAATAAAAATTAATTCAATTAAAATTGTTTTGTTTAATATTATTATTTTGTGTTTTTCTCTAATTTCTTTATTTTATTTTAAATAGAAAATATTTTGACGAGTGAAAATTCGTCAAACCCGCATAATTCATGGATTTTTGAGCATAGTTCCGCACAGTCGATAACATAATTGTTACCTGTAGGTATAATTTTAATTGAATAATATTTTTAATTGTATTTCATTAGGATTGAATGTAATTTTATATATTAATTTCATAATTGCGCCTAATACTGCATAATTTTGGGGTACAATAAACGCATAATTTTTTTTACTTTAATTAAATAATTTCGCGTAATCGAATACGATTGATAAAGCATCATTATAGAATTTACAAAATGCATTTTAATATCTGAACGCACAGTTATAACGCATAAATTTATTCATTATAATTGCACTGTAACGATTGAAATAATTATTATCTTATTATTGGATAAATAAAGTAAATATGTCGTTATTGACAGCTCATTATAATTTGAATGATCCCGCGGTGTGAATTTCGTAAAGTTGTAGATGGCGCTTTCAACCCGAGTCAGAGCAGACGACATTTCTCGCTTACCGGCAAAAAGAGAAAAAGACGCTCAGAACGAAGTGACTCATTTAATTTTACATATATAAATAATTATATTGCTGTAGTGTTTGTATCCGATTTTAAAAAATTAAATTATAATGTTAAAAGAACTATTTTAAGAGGGACAAAACTTATTTTTGAGAATCGAATGGTCTCTAAAATTCTTCGGAAAGAAGAGACCTTTAATTATCGCCCTATAAAAACGGCACTAAACGTGAAAATGATAAAAATTAATTTTAAAATACTTTCTTCTTGAAAGACGGACACTTTTTTTACAAAAGATTCTTATCTTATATAAATTTCCTAAATCCGAAAAATTATGCGAATCCATACAAAAACACGATTGCAAAACGAAAAGTAATATAATGACAGGTTCATTACCTCCTGCCGCCGTCAGATGGCAGCAGCATGCAGGGCGCACAAAGTCGTAGCTGTTATTAGATTACTTTTCTACTTTTTGTTTTGCAACCATGTTTTTCTATGGATTTTCGTACCGTCTTTTGGATTTAGGAAATTTATAAGATGAGGATTTTGGCTGATTTTGTTAAAAGTGTTCATGTTTCGAGAAAAAAGTATTTTAAAATGAATTTTATTATTATTTATTTAAGAACCATAATCAAAAAGAATTTTTAAGTGCCAACTCATTTTTATTTAAACTTCCTTCTGGCGCACCGTGGCATTGCATTCACCGTTTCTAATTGTAACATCCTTATATCCTGCGGAATAATATTGTAATAGAATCACCAATTATTATTCAAGATTTATAATAATTGAATTAATTAATATAATTAATTGTTTCATTAATATTGTGAACAAATTGAAGGAGAAAATTATTGGATTATCGCAAATAACAATTCCGAATGCCAAAATGATAATTACATACTAATTTAAGTAAATAAATATCAAAAATTTTCCAACTTCTTTTGCTGTTTATAAAATGAAAAATTAATATTAAAATTTAAGGCGTATCCGTTATATATAAAATTTTCTTATAAAATTTTTAATATAATTCATCTTACGTTATGATTTCTAGTGGTTGCTTTATGTATACCACGTGGGAAAAGGAGCATATCGTCACCTTATATATCTCATCTGAGAAGACGCATATATATATATTAGAAGATTTCTTAAATTTGAATTTGCATCGTTCATGGTTACTTTGAGCGTTTATATTCGCGCTACTTGAAGCGTACTCTAAAGCTTTAAGAACAGTTGATTTTCCGCGAATTTTCCAGGTTAAAAAATCGTGCAACATCCGTGCGAAACAGTTTAAACTCTCTGCACCGTCATTAAAAATCCTTTTTGGCAGAGAGGTGAGTATATAGTATATATGAGCCATATGCAATATACCGCGAGATTTTCGGCTCCCTTTGTGAAATCGGTCGAGGGTCGAAGAGAAGAGTGAAGAAGAAGAAGAAAAAAAAACAAAACTTCACTGAATGGAAACCGGCCAGTATATAGTGTGCGCACTCACTTTATACAGAAAACCAAACTTGGCATTCGGAACCTGTACGATTATGAACTATACACTTCCCGGCTTCGAGAGGCAAAAGAAAAAAAATTTCCAGCAATAAAGAGAGAGAAAAAAAAAATTTGGATCACAACAGACATTGGACAAATCCGAGTGACGGGCTTTAAATAATAGAATTTTTTGTCACTTATTTTGGCAGCTAGAATGGATAAAAAGTTCCTTTTATAGGTCGATGAGTATATTCATAATATCTCTCTCTCTCTCTCTCTCTTATTTATATGTGTGTGAAATTTTATGTTTTGCTTTTGGAAATGTCATTTCAATCGGAAGAAAGTCCTCCAAGGTATACTGCTCTTTGATTGAATTTTAATCCTTCTCAATTGTATATTAGGAAAAAAAATATATCTTACTATACTTGAGAGAAACAATTTTTAAAATATCAAAACAGGAAATAAAAAAATTAAAAATGATGAAAAGAGCAATAATAATAAAAGAAGAGTTGTAAACGATTCTAATTGTACATATTCAAAAATAATATAAACTATTTTTATGATAGTATAAAAAACAATTTTAATCATACAAATATGATTATGCGTCTATTATGCGCTAAAACTGAACGTACGATTATACCGAAAATATTCAAATGAAAATAGATAAATTAATTAATTTGAAAAAAAAATTATGCGCCTAAATTAACGATTAGTTAAATAACAAAGAAAACAATGTTTTTTGAATCAATTTTTATTTATAAAAAACGAAAATTTTTCTTAATAATAAAAATAAATAAGAATAAATATTTTTAAAAAACATTGGATCCTATATTCTGGATCACTTCTTGAAAATGATCCAAATATTTGTATCAATTTGATACCTTATATCGAATCAAAACGTTGCATTCTAAAAAGATACCACTTTAAGTTTACAGTGTATATGTATATAATCATGTTGTGAACACCTTTCTGTGGTATTTATGGAGAAACTGTTTCGAAAATAATTTTGTCTACGCATTCTACATAAAAGCAAGGTTCATCAAATAAATATATATCCAATTGAATGTCGAAATTCTGTAAGAATAAATAGATTTCAAATTAGTCTCTATTTTTATTAATTAAATTCTTCCAAAAACTTGACTATAATGACAATAAATTTATTTCCATCAAATAATTTTAATTTGTTCAAAAAAAAATTTGTTTATACCTAATAATTTTTATTTGAATCAAATAAACTGTATTTAAACTATTAATTTCTGTATTAGAAGCAAATAAAATTTAATAGAATCAAATAATAATTAAAGCCGATAAAATTTTGACCTACTTCAGAACTAAGAACCATATACTTATTTCAGGTCATGTAACATCAAGAGATAATTTTTTTTTGAAGGTCGTTATATTATCTAAAAGTACTATTTTTATTCTTTAAAATGCATTTTGAAACTTTAAAAAATCTTTATTTGGCTTGGAGTTAGTCATTTGAATTTTTTGATACGAATATTGGTAAATTCACCAAACTCAGAAAACTCAAATGACTGTAACTCAGAGCCAAATAAAGATTTTTCAATGTTTCAAAATGCATTCTAAAGGGTAAGAATAACAGTTTCAGATGCCGTAACTACCTTTTTGGAAAGAAATTATATATATTACCATCCGACATGCTGAGTAAATTCTAAAAGCAGATTCAGATGCAGCATGTCAAAATGCTTTGGAAAAGTATAGTATGGCTTTTGGTTCTTCTCACTGTAAAAAGAAAGGTATTAATTTAATACTGACTTCAGGTACGAAATTGTCATTTGGTTCTATTTTGATATACCTAAAATCGGTACTGTTTTAGTACTTTCCTTTTTACAGTGCTGTTTCACGAAATGTTTCTCTCGGAATTTTTCAAATCCTTTAGTAAATATTTTCCTCTACTTCAATGAACTGAATTTTTATTTTCTAGTATCCAATTTTTAAAATATAGTATAAAAATATAAACTTTTTAACTTACCGCATTGCTTGTCTTTAGAAGTTGATTTGTGAAATTTCATTCATAATTTTTTTATACCATCTGTACTTGTCTTCATCATAATGTTTAATCTGAAGTACCACTTTCGTAACAAAACCCAATCCTTCAATGTACATTTCTGTATAATTTGCAATTGTAAACACAGTTCCAGGTAATAGAATTATCATTGTTTCTTCATATTCATAAAGTTGTTGTATTTTCCCTCTCATATATGGTCCATCAAATAACATTTCATAAACAATATTTTGAAATCCATTTTGTGGATAAGCGGCAAGACTTATGGCAAGTAGTTGACATGTCAAGGCTGTTGTAAATTTTTGTAAAGTAATATTTGTTTTTGAAGTTAGTAATTTGTTAATATAACCAATAGGTTTAGATTCAATTCGATATAATTTCTCATCAAATTTTTCCTCCGGATCGTCAGATTGTCTTATTGCTAAATTATATAAAGCAAGTTTCATTAGTTTCGCTTCATGTGAATCATAAATTATTCGTGAATATCCGGTTGTTGCAAAATTTCTTATCGCATAATAATCATGAAATGATGCTAATAATCTAACTTTCTGTTGATTGTAATCTTCAATTATAGTTTCTAAAGCTGCTTCTTTTTCAATTCGACATCTATCTCTTTGTTGATAAAATGATAAGATTCGAAATTTACCATCAAAAATTGATATAGTATTATGATTTTCAAGATTTAAACTGTATCTTAATGTATTTAAATCATCGGAATTTTTAATTACATAATTCTCAATCCAATGAGGTAATTGGAAGAATTTATCATTTATCCAATGATTAATAGCTGATGATTGTGCTGCCCTATCTGGAAATGTGTATTTTTTCAATGTTTCGCGTATTTGTTGTTCGGAAAGTTGTGTTTTATTTTGGACATATTTTATTATATTCTCCTCATATTCGTTTTTAACATTAAATTTCAATTTTCTTTGACAAACATTAAGTTGTCTTGACTGTAAAAAATACAAACGATCATTACATTTATCATCATCGTGATAAAGTGGTATTCCTAAAAATTTAAGTTTAGTCGAATTTCTTTGAAGTTGATTATTGACTTCATACACAAATTCTTCAGCCTCTGGTTTTAAAGTTAAGTCATTTAATTTAAGATACAATTTAATGTCGTCTGTAAAGTCTTGAATTTGTAAAATCAATATTTCATTCTTATATTCATAGCCAGTTCTCAATAATACAGATTTTGGAACATCTGTATTTATAACAGTGAACTTATAACCATAGCCAGTATCACTTTTCATATCAATAGTGTTTATGTATACTATATGACTATTATCTTCACCAACAAAACCAATGGGTTTGAGGGTAGATGATTTTAAAATTAACATTTTATTAAGAGAATTTGTTATTGACACCAAACTCAAATTTGTTTTACTTTTTAAGGCATTAATGATCTTTGTTAGTAGAACAATGTTTTCTTGTGCTAAAGTTGTAAGTTCAAATGTAGATTCATATTGAATTAGACTAATATTTTCAAATAAATCAATTCTGTTTAATATACTTTTCAAAGAAACTGTTTCCTCTCGTTGTTCTATCTCTAATTCTTCCATTACTTGATTACAGGTATTTTGTAAAAAAATTGCATTTATAGATGTTCCTAACGAGGACAAAAGTTCCTTTGTCTTTGTATGTATTATATTTGATGAATCATCATTTTCATTATCGGAAAATTTCAATTCAGTTATTTCACAAAAACTTGCACCTCTATTAATTGTTGATAAATTAAAATTAAATGCCTGTTGTGGTAAACTAAATTCTTGCCAAAATTTATTTTTCCATTCTTCATTTTTGAATTGACATATGTGAAAAAATTGTAAATACATCTCTAATCGTTCTTTTTTATAATCTAAAAAATTTTTCCAAAACAAATCCATACTCCAATTTAATGCTTTTAAAACTTTATATATTGTTCTGCCATTGAATAATTTTTGATATTTCATATCAAAAGTTTTATAATTAAATTGTAATTCATCAGGTATTTTGTTTAGTGTTACATTATAGCTTTCTCTTTTTAAAATATAATGTTCCATTATCATCCTATCGGGATAATAAAATTGTAACAAATCATAGGGTGATTGTATCGTATTAGAAAAGTCACCAATATCTATTTTATCATTAAAATGTATTAGTTTTATAATAACGTTAGCTGATTTAAGAGAATTTATGAAAGATTCTCCAAATGCTTGTTGAATTAATGTTAAATCAAATTTTTCATATATACTGACAATATGATTAATTTGATCCATGTACCATTCGTTTAGATCAGGTAGTGATGTTCCATTTTCACATTCGAAGTGATTAGGATTATTTAAGTATTCAGAAACTTTTAACATTGTATTATTATATTGACTACAATGAACGTCAATGAGAAATTTAGCCAATGCTGTACGACTTTGAAAACTCGATACTGCAAAATGCATTTTTAAATTGTAGTCTTCATTCAATTGATCTGTAATATTATTAGAAATATTCATTATATATTGAAACAAATTTTTATAGGCCATCTGCCAAAAATGTGAATTTGATATAATTTCCCCTACATTCGAATTAATGTATTCATATTTAGAATTAAATATCTCATAAATAAGAGCTGAGAGAGCAAAAGATTTTAACATTCTTAAATTTTTTTTCTCATTTACAATTAGTTTTTCAATTACATAACCAGTTAATTGATATTCTTCAAATAAATTAACGTCCTTTGGGGTTATATCACTGTAGTGTTTGGAATTATTATAATATACATTACTAATTCTTCCAGATATAAGAAACATTGAACCAGCTTGTGCATAAATATAATCATGTGACAATAAATTAAAATCAACTTTATTTGGTTGAGGAAACATTGGCAATATAATGTCATTAAATATTCTATTCACTGAGAGTGAAGTAAGTTTCGAACTATTGCCATATTCATTGTCAAATGATGCTTTTTGAAGATTTTCTTTTATTAAATTAAATATGTAGTCTATTTGTAAATTTTCCGCTTCACGAAATATATGTACAAAGAAACCATAAATATTTCCATATTTTTCAAATACAAGAGAACTAATGATGTGATGAAACATGGCATTGGCAAAAACAATATCAAATTCTTCGTTATCTTTTTCTCCATAGAGATCGCTGCCTTTTAATAAAATTTTTATTAATTCACCAGTCTTGTATTTTTTTACTCGATTGTCTTCAAAGAATTGATGAAGTGCATTAACAATTGGTATTGGTTTTGTTTGATCATCTTCTGTTAAATAATTTTTAAGGTATAAATAATCATTGAGTATATTTAGGTATGTAAATATTGGTATAAATTGTATTGTCTCCAGTATATTATTATGTGTTAGTGTATTCATTTTTTTTATCTCTACTGTGAGATTTTAAAACGCCAAAATTTTTTTAATCTGTGAATATAAGAGAAAAATAATTTTACTTTTGTGTAAATTTCAAAATTTATTTCAAAAAATACAGCAAATTTTATTATTTTAATAATTTTTGTTCAAAGATCTTAATCTTACCTGATTCTGTTGCTTTTTAAAACGACGGAAAATTAACGATATAAAATTTAGTATGAAGAATACTTTTACCAAAGAATTAAGTAAAACTGAAATAAAATATGATTTTCTCCCTTATTATATATAAAATGCCTACAATTATTATCATTGGATAAAAAAATATATTTGTTCTCTATTGTAAATTTTCTATTTATACAATTGTAAAATAAAAAACTTCAAGTATTTATGTAGTTTAATAAATAATATAACTGGTTTTTTCTTTAAATTTACATATTACTTCGAATTGTACAAAAACTTACGATATATTTTTTTACACTTGTGTCACGAGAACATAACCTAAATTTTTCTAAAAATATCTAATAATTTTTTCCCTTTTTGGTAATTTTGATTTTTTTTTTTTTTTTTAATAAAAGAATGCAGCAAAAATAATTTTAGCAGATGGACTATGTATACAATAAGATATTATTTATAATTGCTGAACACCTTTTTTGACAATTACGTGACTTTAATAAAGAAGTAAATAGTCGCGCACATGTTTTTCCCTCTCTCCCTTGATATTTTATCGCGCGTGCAGTTTTTTTTTTCATTTCAAGGTAAATGTATTGTTATAATATTATCAATAAAAAAAAAATTGACTAATTTTTTATTATCATTATTATCAGTCTATTTGGAATTGAGTCATAATAACAAATTTTACATATTGTTTAAAAAGATTCCACCAATCTTGGATTGGAACGTTTGAAGAAATTAAATACAATTAATATATATATACAAGCTGATAAAATTTCATTAACCTTCAAAAAGCAAAAAAAACAGATTATGTACTTCGAAGGTTTTCGACCTTTGCTGAATTATTTAAAAAAACTAATCTCAGAATAGCGTGAGCTCATGGTTTTTAGATTTTCTAACCTAAAAATGTAACAAAAACTTTTTTTTTGGTAGTTTAGAAAAAATCTATTACCACCTGAAGCCGTTTTCCCCGTTTCTCTTACAATTAACGGAGGTGTCGAACCCTAACGGAGAAATTTGATACCTCCGAAATTTCGTCTGCTAAAAGTGACATGAGCGATGTAAACATGGAGAATCATGATATAATTATTTATGTTGTGTAAAAACACAGTAACGAAGTAAAATTAATAACTGCAAGTGAATATAAATTATTAAACTGTTCAAATTTTATTTTAATTATGGTCGAGATAAAAATATACTTTAATAAGATTTATATTTAAAATGAAACTCATCATTATTATTTGGATTTCATTAAAAATAGTTTTGTAAATAGATTTATATTTTGTATTGCCTTTAACACAATTTGTTTTGCAACCTTTAATAGAACAACTATAATCATATTTCCTTATTTTTTCTTTAAATTATTTACAAAAACCAGAAAAAAACAAACCGATATAAAAACAATCAGTTTATGCAGGTTATGTAACGGCAGTGCATTTTGCGAAATTTCTATGTGTTAATAACTGTACACATTTTGTGTCAGTGTGGGTAACTAGTTCCCAACTTTTCCGATAGGTTCGTGTAATTTTTGCAATTTCATGTTCAAAACCTAATGTCTCTTCAACAAATTGACCAAATTGAATGATCCTTGGACCAAAATAAAGCTAAATAAATGTAGAATAGAGGAAAATTATAGGGAATCCTTGATTTATTTTTTTGAGCTCCTGGGAGTCGAGTGAAGTTAGCATTTTTTAGGAAAAAATGGTAAATTGAAGTATACAAACTGGTATATCATGGTAAAACTTGGTAAAACAACTTTTTTGTAAGCATTTAGGATCACTGAATACAAAACTAAAGTTCATTTTTCAAAATTCAAAATGGCGAATTCAAAATAGCGGACTAAAACAATGCAATTTTGAAACAAAAATTTTTTTATTCAAACAGTGGTATTTTAATGTTTTTGAGGTCGCTAAATCCAAATATGATTATAGAAAATCAAGGTCAAAATTTAAAAATTTTTAAAAACAAAATTCACCATTGGAAAGAGCATGAAAAAACCTTCAAAAAACATACCTGACAAAATTTTTTTTTTTGCATTTATAGACAGCAGAAATTTAAATATTAGGCGGTGTCAGGCAAAATTTTTTTTTGGAAATATTTTACTATCAGGTATAGGACAACAATTCCACCAAGTTTCACTTTTTTTCGAGAAATTAATTTTTTAACTTACATTACACGTAAAATGCCTCATATATGTAATGGTAAATTCGTTAAATGAATCAATCGTCAAATAGAAAATATAACGTAATAAGTTCCCCGAAATTTTTGCAACTGCTCTTTAAATTTACACCTGGTTGGTACGAGACTATATGAGGCGAGAAGAGGTCGTTTATAGGGGTAGTGCCCTTCATGCTAAAGTCAGCAGCCTTTTTTTTTCTATTTTAATACTTTCATTTTAGATCGCGTGCGGGTCAGCAGAGCCATATAATGACAACGTCGACTAATTAAGTGATTATCTCGTTTCGTGGGCAGACAGTCGGCCTCTGCTTTCCATGTCGAACCGATAAAACCTTCCCCTCTTCCTTTTTTTCATTCACTGTATATATATATATATATATATACAGGACATCGATCGTTTCACAGTTCAAACAGGAACCAGTACTCCGCCCAAATTTTTGCTAATTACTTTTAGCAAACTTCATTCTTATTGCACATTTAACAAGAGATACTCATCCTGCACCTTAATTAGAGTCAATTAACTTTATCTATTTTAGCTTATTCACGTGTGTTTTATATATATATCTACAAAAGTTAGTTGAAATAGTTTTCAATATTTTATACAGTTAATTTCGCACTTTAGTGATGCAAAAAAAAAACAATTCTACTACTGAATTTATATACTTAGCCTAAAATTTATTTAACAGAATTTCTAAATTATAGCAAATTTTTATTTGTCCGAAATTTCAAATGTCCGAGCAAATAATCGATTTTGGCGGTATTTTTAAAAGTAACCATAAGACAAATTTTGTAATTTTTGATTGGTTAATTTTAAAAATCGCGCCGAAATTTTGCTGTCAATTGTTTTACTTTAAAAAATGTACATTAACAGAACTGTTAATAACCTAAGTTATTGTAAATGATATTATTTTTATCTATCGTAATTAAATATATATAGTTTTTATTGAAGAAATTAAAAATATTTCGAGTGATTACTATTATTATTATTATCTAACCTATTTAAATTTTTTAAGCAATTGAAATTTCTAATGTCCATAAAATTTCTCTTAAAAACAATCACTATTAGTATTAGTAATTTTTTAAAAATTATATATAATTTTTAAAATATTCTTTTCTCATTAAAATAAATATACAAAATCATATAAATTAAATATAATTTATTATTTTTTCTTTATTCAACGAAGTAATATTTAACATATTACGTACAAAAATATGTAGGGATTAATAAAACTATTCATATTTATTAAAATCAACAAATAAAAGACAATTTTCGAAAAACAATTTAAGCCTTAAGGGAAGCTTTAATTTGGTCTTTTAGAGAACAACTCATCCATACGAATTCAAGCACATAAGATATTTTACAGAATCATTTTCCAATCTGTTCTTGTGTTTTCTGATGGTCAAGGATTTTTCATTTTAATAATTTTAATAATTGTCAATAAAATTAGTTAAATATTTGATAAAAATTAAAATTTGTAAACTAATAAAAATAGTAAATTAGGAAAAAAGTATGTAAAATTTGACATAATTCAAATTGAAACATTTTTATAAAATACTTTTGAGAAGCTCCTTTTGCTTGCTCATCATCTAAATCTATCTGATCATGTATATTCTTTTCCTGCTTTCGGTTTTGTTCGTATCTTCTGCCATTTTACTTTTCACAAATAACTTCCTTTTTTATTTTAAAAAATCGATGAAAAAGAGGTATTTTATTATTATAATAAAACAAAATATAATAAAATATTGTAAAATATAATAAAATATAATAAAATACAATAAAATACAATAAAATACAATAAAATACAATAAAATACAATAAAATGAAAATTCCAACTAATGAATTTGATGGGAAACTCATGCGCCCTAAAGAAGAACAAAAACTAATGGACAAATTCTAATCGAGTGTAACTGACAGTAATCGAGGGAATTTGTATAACGATTAAATTTTATATTATATTGTTAGATGAAAAAAAGGGGAAAAGTTCAATACTCTTACAGCTGAGATGCACATGTGAATACAATATATATATATATAGGAAGTTGGAACACGAGACAAAACCTTATAACGACAGGACAGCCATAGAAGGGATAAAACCCATGATTCGAACGTTAATTCCTCATACGAGACAAGAATCACGTTCTTTTTTAACACATTTGCTGTTCATTGGACCTATATATTCTATATACTTATCTGTGTCAATTTTTATGTCTTCCTTTATATATAGAGTTTTGTTCCTTTAGAACATTATTTTACAGAAAAAAGAAACTATTTTTTTTTCCTTTTTTTTTTCATTAAAAGAGACAACTCTTCTGATAAGCTGGATTAAAAAAGTTCAACTGTTTTGACACGTTAAGATCGAAAAATATGATAAGGAAAATTAAAAACTCGTGCATGGTTCTGTCATATATATATATATATATACATACGTGTGGGATGTGGGTTTAACTTTTTTATTAGAAAGATTTCAAACATGTCACACACATATATATGAAATTAAATATATGATCAAGATAAAATTTTTTTTTATATTTTCTTGTATTTTTAGAATATTTTAAAATATATATAGATTTCAGAAAAAAAAAATTCAATGATTTCCGTTTTTAAAATAACGTTAATATTTTAAAAAGGTGTTTTTTTATGCATTAGAATGTTCTGATATTATATAAATATACGTATATATTGAAAAATTAACAAAATATTCACGTACATATTTATATATTGTTTCCTTTCACACTGTTGGGAAATATTTTGAATTTTATTATGAAATTTTTTTGGTAATATGAAATATGTATTTGAATTTTAAAAAAATATTTTTTTCTCTATAAGGTTAAATATAACTATATTATTAAACTATTTTATTATTATATTATTTTATTATAAA